TTTGAAAAAGATTCATCTTCTGAAGATAGAATTAAATCTTGAAATACAAAACATTAGAGAAAGTACGATAAAAGTATCTGAAAAAATATTGATGAGAAGATGAGTAGACAATTTTTAGGTATCAAGTCTAACAATCGAAGTATAAAAATAAATCCAACCGAAATGATGGTTTGTGAATATTACCAGATGAAAAGAACGGTATTTTTAGATCTTTTGGTCTGGGCTCGAAAGACATTTCTAACTAAGATAAAAAACATGTTAGATGCTATGTTAAAACGTTGTGGTCTTTCAGGAAAGGTGGATCTTCCATACATTTCAGAAAAAAAAAATTTACAAAGCATGTTTGTTTACGTGAACGTGATTAAATTTAGAAATGATATTCAATATTTAACCAAATTAGCAGAACAATTATCAAAATTAACAAGAAAGATGTAAAGAAGTTTTGATAGTGAATGATATTGTATTAGAAGAATATGGTATTGAATTAGTATATTATTGTTCAATTGATACATTACGATTACATGAACTTGTTTTGAAACGAAATATAATTGGAGATTATATACAATTAGCAACTTTAACATGTACAATGATATCGAATGTGTTTATGAATGGTGTTGGTTGTTTGGTATGAAATTTTTATGGAAGATATGCTGCGAGAAATGATATGTTGATATCAAACCATAGAAAAGGTAAAATTAGTGTAGAACAATATCAAGGAGGTTTAGTTTTAGTTTCTACAACTAATTTAAACAATCGACCAGTAGCTGATGTTGATTTCACATCTTATTATCCCAATACAATAATCACAAACAATATATTTTTAGATACACGTGTTAATATTGATTCTACGATGGAAAATTTAAATATAATTTCTGATTTAGATCAAACATATGGTAAATTTATTCGACACGATGGTGAAGAAAAAAAGATGGGTTTGATGCCTTTAATGTGTAAAATATTGTTAGAAGAATGGGCGATAGCCAAACAAAATATGAAAAAACATTTTCAAGATAAACAATTATATCTTTATTATAATTCTTTATCTAACGCTCTCAAGATATTGGCAAATTCGATATATGGTGAAACAGGATATAGATATTCACCACTATATCATAGAGATGTATCTTCGTCTGTTACGGGTTTTGCTCGTTCAAATCTTCGAAGGATGATCGAGTATGCGAAAAATAAAGGCTACACGATAATTTACAGGGATACAGACTCATTTTTTTATATGATTCCAGAACATTTTTTTACACATTTGGATCAAAAATATAAGATAAAAAAAAACATATTGTCAATGATACAAAGAAAGATAAAGCAACTTCATTGGTACAAGATGGTGAAAAAAACTATAACACAATCGAAAATTCTCGAAAAAGAGATAAACAAATATCTACAAGAGATAACGAGTCATTCATACCTAAAAATGGCATATGAGAAGACAATGATGCCAGCATTATATCTTCATAAAAAACAATATTGTGGTTATGTGCATGAGAACGAAGTTGAATTTGACACACCAAAACTTTTGGTTAAAGGTCTCAAATTGGTGAAACGAAATGTATCAGAATTTTATAAAGTGGTTGCGGAAGAACTGATCTGGTTATCGTTAGGATATGAGAATAAACAAATTTCTATTTCCAATACGAGTTTGAAAGAAAAAACATTACAAACTATATCCAAATATATTGATGAAGATAAAGTATCTCTAGAACTCTTTAAACTTATAGTCAAATATGACCCTACAACCAATCAACGGGTAAAGGATTTTTGGAACATGGAAGAATGCAAACTAAAAGGTGATGAGACCAAAAAAGGAAATAAGATGGTAATTTCATATGTGACCAAGATGGCTGATTATGGTATTACGATTGAACATGGACGATTTTACTATTTTGTAACTCACATTCCAAATATGAGTGTTGTATCACATAGAATGCATCTATATGATTATTTCGTAGAAAATCGAATAACAAAAAAACTTCGTATAGATATACCGTATTATTTCGATAGTTTACGAGATATTTGTGCTTCACTTTTAAGATGTAAAGTGAAGAAGGCTTAAGAAATGATTCAAGAAATATTTGACATGAACGAAAATAAGAAGCAGTTGAGGATTACAGACTTCACAAATCATAGTATAGAATCTTCTTCAAATAAAAGAAAATATGAAGGAAAATCCTGTTCGAAAAAACAAATTAAATTAGATGTTTATTTTAACAAAAAATAAAAAAAAATATAAATTAACCAGTTATTAACCGGTTAATTTTTTTCATGATTGAAAAAATGTCGATTGTTGAAAGACCAAATTTGTTGTCATTAGCTTACAAGCTTTATCATATGATTTTTCTTAATATCTATAAAAAAGATCAGTATTATCTTGGTAGAATATGCAAATATTTGTGGGAAATATATTCAAAAACACTTAATGATCCTAATTTTTATTATTTCTATGAAAATTCCCACACTTTTTTGCGTCGAGAGATATTATTTTATAAATTCAGATATATTAAAAAAGCCAAAAAGTTAGATGTTGTTTATTTTGATAAAAGATATCAACAGTGTGAATTTTGTAAACAGGTGAGACTTAATTGTGATTTTAAACTAGAATGTGCTCACTATCAAAAGAAAAATCGAAAATGTATTAAAAAAAAACCATTTATTCAGAAAACTCTTTTCAAGACTGATAAAGGAAAACGATATATTAGAACATTAGATGATAGATGGTCTAACGGAACCATGGTTTTAAAACATTATGATGATATAGCTGATTTTGGAAAACGAACTTGTGACAAATGTTCTAGACTTAACTTCTGTGGTTCTTGTAATATTTTTAATAATAGATATAATATTGATTCGTGTTTTTTCGGAAGAAATCACACGAATGACTCAAATATAGCGGTAGATCTTTTTAACACATTATCACTTATAAGTCTTACACATTATCACCAACTTTATCAAAATTGTTTTCATAATTGTCCTAAACAATCACAACTTAAAATAATAAATTCATCAGATTGGAGAGCCATTTAAAGATGAGATACATGAAATTTGAATACAACATTATTACTTGCAACATTTTCTCTTTGATACAAAAATTTTATCGAGCAAATCAGCAATCAGAAAACATAATCAATTTTCTTAAAGAAATTTCTCAATTCGATGAGGAAACGTTTAAAAAATTTATTTCAATTCAGGAAAAGTGAAAATCACTTCATACACTGATAAAATCTGAATTTGATTATATTTTAAAAATACAAACGGTTGAATCGTTTGTAGTGTTAGAAGAAACTGTCAAGTACCAAAATACAATCTATATTATCGAACATGTATTCTATTAGAATTTAATTAACTATTTGCTTATTCTCTACTCAGTTTAAACCGAGTAGAATTTATTTTATTTAACAATAAAAATATCAAATTAGTTTGTAAAAAATGGTTGAAATTAAAATCAGTTCAAACCTATCTTTATGTTTAATTGAACTTTCTAAGGCTTTTTCTCTCTGTTTTGTATTATATTATATATTATACTATATATTTAAATTTTTTACCCTTATAGTAAAGGTAAATAATAATTAGAATTCAATCTAAATTGACAGACTTTTTTCTGTAGAGTTTTTAATTTTATATAATAAAAATCATCTGATTAGTTTCGACCAATCAGATTTTTTCATAATCAACAAATTTTGTGGCTTAGCATCAAATTTCTATTTAAACCCGATACTTTCTTATTTTTTAATACTAAAAAAATTTTAAGGTAAGAGAGATTCACGACCTGTAATAATCTTTACTTTATGTAATAACTTTTACTAACTCTTATTTTCCGCTAACTCGGTGACTTCATGCGTTGGTTGTTTATCGACTGGTTTTTATAATTGTGATTCATTTACTTGAATTATTTATGCTATAAATCCAGATGCCAAAAATATCATCAATAAAATATTACGCTGTTGCTAAAGGAGAAAAAACAGGTATCTTTTTATCATGAAAAGAATGTAAAAATTATGTAAAGGGTTATCCTAGAGCTTTGTATAAATCATTTTATACAAAGATCGAGGCTCAGAATTTTATAGATCAACAAAATATTGAAGTTAAAGACAAGTTAAATGTTTGGACAGATAGGTACTATAAAAGAAATGGTTTATCAGATGCTATTGGAGGTATTGGTGTGTTTTTTGGAGACAGATAATAGAAATTTATCAGAACGTTTACTGGGTAAACAACAAACTAATAATCGTGCAGAAATTTATGCTGCGATTAGAGCTCTTGAAATTTGTGACAAAAAAGAAAATTTAATTATAAATACTGATAGTACTTATGTTATTACTTCTAGAGATGTTAAAAAACCTAAAACTAATTTTGATTTAGTTAATAGATTTAATGATTTAATCAAGGAACATGAAGGAAAAACATATTTAAAATATGTGAAAGGACATAGTGGTATTTATGGAAATGAACAAGCGGACAGACTTGCATATTTAGGTTCAAAAAAACCAGATATTAAATTAATTCTACCAGAATGTAAAAATACTATCAAAGATTATTTCAAATAGTTTATTTTTTTTTTTAATAAAGTTAAATAAAAATAAAATTATTGATAAAAAATATTTTTTAATAATTTACAAGAATCAAAATGCGATTCGTATTGGTGACTGAGTGGGAGACCCAGTCAAAAATTCGAATCAAATGACGATTCGCTTACAGTAAACATAAAAAACACAACCAACGCATAAGCAATTGCGAGGCTAGCAGCACGCCAAAAAAAGCCTCTGGCAAGGTAAATAATCTGATCAGTTTTAAACCGATTAGATTTTTATTTGTGTAATTTGTTTTTTAAAATGTCTCAATCTTTAAGTAAGTCTGATTCTGAAATTCAAAATATTATAATTAAAGAAAAAAAAAAAAACGTGTAGATCATACATGGTTTAGAGTGAACGAAAATACAAATTTTAGAAGACTAATCATGTTTCCTGATAATGATGGATATATAACAGAATATACTCAAATCAAGTTGAGTAATAAGCAAAATGCTTTTCTTAACAAGAAGCATTGGGAATTTTTGAAACAACATAAATTTGTTCTTGATAAGACTAATAATATTATTAAAGAAATTAGCAAAGAATATTTACTTGAATTACTTTATCTGGAAGTAAAATTAGTAAATATTAAATTTAAAAATAGTTATTCATTTGATTTATGTGAATGTAATATTGAAATTGTTTAAAGTATTTTTATTAATTTTGTTATTATAATAAATACAATGGTAATAAATTAAATTAAAAAAAAACTTTTAAAGATTTAAATCTAAAAGAAAAAAAAATAAAAACTACTTTTGTGAATATCTAGAGGAAACATTTTCACTAAGTTGGTTTTGTAAATCATTAATAGTTTGTTCTAAACGATTGATAGTTTGTTGTAAGAGATCAGTTTTGCGTTTGTAGGTTCTTTCCTTTTCTTCCTTTTCACGTTTATGATTTTTATCTTTTTTCTCTCAATCTTTCATTATATTCA